CAGGTGGGTGGGTGGACGGACAGATGGACAGGTGGGTGGGTGGACAGACAGATGGATGGGTGGGTGGGGGGACAGATGGATGGGTGGGTGGGCAAGTGTGATGGAGCCATTTGTGGGTAGAGTAGGTGTTTGCCAGGAGGGGGCCAGGGGATCTGTTGGCCTGAAAGCTGTGGCAGTGCCTGGGGAAAGTTCCCCAGGGATTCCTCGGAGGAACTAGGGCCAGAGTGGGAGGCTTGCGGGGAGATTCAGCTAGAAGGTAAGCCAGACTCCCCCCGGCCCCCACCGCCACCTCAGCATGGCCCAGGAAGGTAGGGGATAAACTGAGGCAAGAAAGGAGCTTCCCAGAGCTGGTTGAAAAAGATCATGCTGGAGGGGTGAGCGGGGGCCAGGTGGAGGCCTGGAGCGTGGGCTGGGGATGTGACCACTCATCTGCCCCCTCCTGGTTTCGAGTTTCATTTCAGTGAACGCGAAACAGTGGCTGCCAGCCCCCCCCGCCCCCCGTGTCCCCTGCCCCAGGGCCCCTGGGTCCCGGCCGGGCCACCCACCCGCTCCAGGGCAGAGGTTTATTCAGGGCTCGCGTCCACGTCCCGGCCTGTTCTGTCACGTGCACAGAGCAGATCTTGCTTTTCCACCTTGGCTGATCTCCTGGTGGGGGGGACAGACGGGTGGGTGGGGGTGATGAAAGGTCAGAGAGTGGGACAAGTCAATACAGGGGTGACTGGGAAACTTGGAGCTTTTGTCTAGGACGGGTTGGAAACTGTCCATCCCAGAATGTTAAAGATTATTTTAAAAAATAAAATAAAACTCGTTTCCGTGAAGTCGATTCTGACTCATAGCGACTCTGTAGGACACAGTAGAACAGCCCGATAGGGTTTCCAAGGAGCGGCTGGTGGATTCCAACTGCTGACCTTTTGGTTAGCAGCCGAGCTGTTAACCACTGCGCCACCAGGGCTCCCTAACATTTTAGGTGGGCCTGCTTTTTTAAGGCCAAACACTGGGCCTCCGCATGGTCTGTGCCCACTGGTGGTTGTGGGCTGCACACCGTCCTCCGCCTCCTGCCTGTCCTTCTGAGGTCGCTGCTTTACCCTGTGCCACTGGGTTCCAGGTGTTTCTCAGAAGAGGTTTCACAAGTGCTGCCTGGGCAGAGCGAAGGCGTCTGAGCTCGTTCACCACACGTTCACTGAGCACCCACTGTGGGCAGGCAGTGTTGCAGGCGTCCCCGCCCTCCTGGAGCTGACATTCTCATGGGGGAGGCAGGCACTGAAGAACTAAACAGACATGTATATCACGCGGGAGTGCAGTTGGAGCCCGGGTGGCGCAGTGGTTAAGAGCTACGGTGAGCTATGGCTGCTAACCACAAGGTCGGCAGTTCGAATCCATCAGCCGCTCCTTGGAAACCCTACGGGGCAGTTCTACTCTGTCTTTTATGGTCACTATGAGTCAGAATTCACTCAGTGGCAACGAGGTTTTTTTTTGGTGGGAGCGCAGCGCAGAGTCTCTGGATGGCACAAACGGTTACATTCGACTACCCGCCCAAAGGTTGGCGGTTTGAACCCACCTGGAGAGGTGCCTCAGAGACAGGCCTGGCAATCTGCTCCCGAAAGGTCACAGCCTTGAAAACCCCATGAAGTGCAGTTCTTCTCTGACACCCATGGGGTCGCCATGAATCGACTCAGCGGTGACAACTAATGATGACAAAGTGCAATGAAGAGAAAATACCGCGGGAAAGGGACGTAGAGGGTGACGGGCACGGGCCCCTCTGAGAAGGCGACGTTTGAGGCCGGAACCAGGGAGGGTGGAGAGGGAGGAGCCTTGGCAGCTCTGAGGAGAGTGGGCCAGGCAGGGCCGCGGCCAGAGCCAAGGCCCTGCGGTGAGAACATGCCCAGGGCTTAGAGGGCAGCAGGAGGCCCCTGTGGCTGGGGCAGAGCGAGCGAGGGGGCGCGTGGGAGGGGAGGAGGGCACAGAGGGGCGGGCAGATCACGCAGGGCTCCTGGGCCGTGGGGAGGAATTTTGGGGGCCGGCAAAGGGTTTAAGAATGTCAGCCATGGAGTGGGCTGGCCTGTTTTCCATGCCCACTTCTGCTCGATGACCTCAGTGAGAGCTTTCACCTTTGGGAGCCTCAGTTTCCACATCTGCAAAATGGGGATCAGAATCACTGCCAAAGCTGCAGGGAGTCAGTGGGCTCAGTCGGTGCGTGTGCAGGAGCACGGGGTCCCCCGTGGTGGTGGTGGTCCGCGGTGAAGTGTTGGAGCCGAGCCTCAGCTCCTTTGGTAGCAGGGACTGGTTTTCAAACAGGGTTTCCGCTGTGGACTCTTACACCAAAGGCCTGTGGAAAAGGCAGATACGGCTGCCCCCCACTACCTCTGGGGGCCTGGGACAGGTCAGATAGTGGAGACCCGTAACACCAGGAGGGCCAGAGCAGGAGAGGAGGGGCCGAGGGCTTGGCTTGGACAGAGGGGATGGGGAGGGAGGAAGGGGTGGAGGCCAGGACTGGGCTTGGAGATGCTAACAATGACCGTGGCAAAGGCACAGCATCACGGCAGCCGGCAAGGGCAGGACAGGCAGGCGCCCTCACCAATGGGTGCCCTGGACAAGGGTGTCACCCCTTTGTGCCTCAGTTTCCCCATCTGTGAATTGGGGGTGATGAGAGCAGTGGTGAGGTGGAATGGGATTGGGCACAAGCAGTGCTTGGCAGGGCCTAGCACACCTGTCTGCAGGGCGGGGCTGCTGTCATGGTTATTGGGGGGTGTCCCAGCCCCCATGGCTCCCTGAACTGGGGCAGGGGCCAGGCTCCAGGTTAGCCAGGCTGGATTCTGATGCCCTCCCTCCCACACCCTCCCCGTGCGGTCTGGACAGGTTGGCGTTCTCTCTGACATGGTTTCCTTGGCCGTCACGTGGGTTCATAATGGCCCTTGCCTCTCACGTTAGGGGTGCAGATTTAAGGAGCAAATCTGGGGGATGCTCAGAGCAGGGCCAGGACACAGTAGGCGCTCAGTATGTGTTGGGTGAGCGACATTCAGTCCTGCCCTTGGCCTGTGCTTCCGGTCCCACAGGCTGTCCCTGGGCCAGGCCACCGCGCTTCCTGTTGCCTTTGGCTCCTTAAAAATCTCAACAGAGCAGGTGCTATCATCTCCTTCCTTTCAGAGAAGAGGACGCTGAGGCCCAGAGTGGCTGAGTCGCTGGCCCGGGGTCACGCAGTCAGCTCCCCGGAGCAGGCTGGATCGTCCCGTTTCGCAGACATGGAGAGCGAGGCCGCGCAGGGCAGAGTGGCAGAGGTGGGGTTTGAGCTCTGGCTGGCTGCCTTAAGCTCCGAGCTCTCCTGCAGCCCTGGCATCTCCTCTCCCACATCCCCGCTTCTGGTGCAGGCTCCAGCCTTTATGCAGCTGCTCCTCCCTCTCCCCCCAAGGCCTGGTATCCCCCATAAGGTCCAGAACTTGAGGATCTGGTGGGGGAACCAGCAGGGCTTGGAGCTGCCTGGGGAGGGCTCAGGGTGGGGCTCCCGCCTGGTCATTATAAACACGGTCAGTTCCTCTGTTTGTCCTGCCCTCCATGCTGTGCCCAGAGGGAAGCAGTGCCCCAGGTAGATATCCGGAGGAGTCTGCCCTCCTCCCCTGTGGGGTCACATGCAGCTGAGGCGTGGTGCTGGCTGCAGTGTACAGAGGGGGCTTGGGAACTTATGGGGGTCTCTGATCTGTGGGAGCGTGGTAGGACGGACTGCTGCATGACAGCTCCCCCATTACTAGCTTGTTTGGCTTCAGGAATCCCAGGCTGCTTCCACCCACCCCCATCTTGATCCTGAGCCGTTCCCATCTCAGGGTTTAATGGGGATCACATGGATAACCCAGTTCTTACAGAGGGCCATGGGAGCTGACTGATGGCCTCAGGTCATCGGTGGGCTGGGGGGTTCAAACTGGGGGGATATCTGGGAAGACAGGAGGCGAGAGGACATGGGGCATACATCTGGATGACAGCAGGGGAGGGTGCGGGTTGTCAGGGGTGTGGGGACAAACCGAGAACTAGAAGGACTGAGAGCTGAGGGCAGAGAAGCCTGGAGAGGGCCAACAGAGTAGCAGGGCCCTGGGTGGGTGAGCTGGGGAAGGATGTGTGGGAGCGGTGGGTACTGGTCAGGAGACTGGAATGGAGGTGAGATGCAGGGGGGTTCCTGGCTTGATCCCAGGCAAGAGAAGGGGCAGGGGCAGAGCAAAGGGGCCCCGTCCTGATAGGGGCTGTCCCATCTCAGATCTGAGTGGCCTGGCTCCCAGAGCAGTCAGGGACACTGGGCCGGTTGGGGGTGCCCTGGCCTGCTTGGCTATAGTCACCTGTTGGCCAGGAGGCCCGGACCAGTCTAGACAGGTTGGCCACTGTGTCCCTGCCCGCCTCTCACCAGGCTCCCACTGCCAAACCTGTTCCGCCAGGTGCACCCATCCATGGCCCTCCACCTCTCCTCACAGAGTGCTCCCCCAGGGAAAGGCGCCAGGGACCACAACTGGGGGCTGGAGGGCCACAGGCTCAGGAGGGCAGGGCCGTGTCCCAGACACGCACGGGAGCGTGTCTCACCGGGCCCGCTCGTGAGCTCAGTGCCGACTCGCCAGGCACTGTTCCAGGTCCTGAGAAGCCACCGTGAACAAGACAGAACCCCCGCCCGCCGTGTTTCTCCTCGTCTTTTGAGTCCCAACTCACACAACCCCTCTTCTGGGAAGCCTCCCTTTACCCACCACCGACCCTCCCTCCAGGCTGGGCCTGGCACCCCCTCTGGGCTCCCACAGTCCCGGTGCTTCCCCAGCCCTGCCACTCTGGGCTGTCTGTCTCTAGGGACTGTCTCTCTCCTCCTCCGGCCTGAGAGCCCCATGAGGACACGGGTCATCTTGGTCACCACTGTGTCCCCAGCACCACCTGGCATGGGGCTGGGCACAGAGGAGACCCATTGGTGAGTTATTACTAAATGCATGAATGAGTGAACGAATGGCTGTTCTCTTCCCATTTTACAGATGAGTAACCCAAAGCTGAGAGAGGAGTTGTCACCCGCCTGAGGGCACTTTTAGCAGATCCAGCATCAAACCAGGTCTGTGTGAGTGACCCCCAGGCCCACGTGTGGGACATCTTGGGCGGGGCCTCTAACAGGGGCGCGGGGTCTGGGCCTCCCCCAACAGACACTGCTGAAGAATCCGTGTAACAGTTACAGCAGCAAACGCTGACAGGCACTCCCTCTGTGCCCGGCCCTGTGCTAAGCTCTTTGCTCATGCTAACCCTCACAGCAGCTCCATGAGGTATCAACAAGGTTGACCCACAAGTTACAGATGGGGAAGCCGAGGCACAGAGCGGTGAACTCACTTGGCCGAGGTTGCGTGCAGTAAATGGCAGAGAGGGATCGGTGCTCGGGCATCTGGTTCCCCTTCCATCATTTTTCTGCCTCCACCGTGTCACGTCCCCTTCGGCCTGTCTCCCCTGTGGCCCCTTTGCTTTTTAAACTGCCTTTTGTTGAGCATTCACTCTGTGATTGAGTCCCCGACTGAGGACCACGGTGCTGAAGACAGGCTCTGTTTTATCTGTCACTGTCTGCATGGCCTTGGTGTGCTTGTCTGTGAGGTGGGCGTGTTGCAGTGAGGTGCCTCAGGGTTGTGCACACGACAGCGGCTCACAGACGGTTTGCTGAATGAGCAACCAGAGCTGTGTGGCGTTCCCGTCACAGGGCTCGGCACGGGGGGTGGCGCGGCCAGTGCGTCAGGCACCCCTCACTGAGCGCGCCCTGGGCACCTGGCCCTGTGCTGGCACCGGGGGTGCAGCCCCGGAGGAAACCGAGCTGGCGGAGCTGCCATCCTAGTGGTGGATGTAGACACTGGCATGGCGTGGCGGACACGAACAAGAGAATGTCCGGGCGTTAAACATGCTGTTTGAGCCCCTGGGTGGGGCAAACAGTGAACGCACTCAGCTGCTCACTTGAAGGTTGGGGGTTTAAGTCCACCCAGAGACACCTTGGGAGAAAGGCCGGGTAATGATTTCCAAACAATCAATCGTTGAGAACCCTATGGGCACAGTTCTACTCTGACCACGTGGGATTGCCATGAGTTGGGATCGACTCCAGGGCAGTTGGCTTTTTTTAAAAATGTGCTCTGAAGGGTGATGTGATGGAGGGATGGCGGGGCATGGGGCTGTCTTCCTTGGGGTGGTCAGGGAGAAGCTGAAGAGGGTCGGGAGGAGGGAGCCATGTGAGGATCTACAGGAAGCCTGTTCCAGGCTGAGGGGACAGCCAGTGCCAAGGCCCAGCGTGGCTGGGCCAGGGGAGCGAGGGGACATGACGGCAGAGAGGTGATGGGAGGACTCTGGTTTCTGCCAAGTGAGACAGTGCCATGGAGGGCTCCGAGCAAGGGAGGGACGTGACTGGAGTCTGGGTTCCCCGGGGGGGGTGGGGGGGGAGAGGCAGCTGGACGGTCCAGGAGGCGGTGAGGATGGACAGGACTGGGGCGGGACAGAGGAGGGGAGAATGGCAGGCTCCGCTGCCGAACCTTGCAGGGTGGCTGTCTCACGCAGGCCCCCGTGGGAGCCCAGGTGTCCGGCGCCATGTTTGGGAAGAAGAAGAAGCGGGTGGAGATCTCGGCGCCCTCCAACTTTGAGCACCGCGTGCACACGGGTTTCGACCGGCACAAGCAGAAGTTCACAGGGCTGCCCCGCCAGTGGCAGAGCCTGATCGAGGAGTCGGCACGCCGGCCCAAGCCGCTCATTGACCCCGCCTGCATCACCTCCATCCAGCCTGGGGCCCCCAAGGTACGCGGCACCTCCACCCGCTTCCCCTGACCCAGTGCTGCCCCTACAGGGCGACCCCACCCTTTACACTTGACCCTACAACCAACCCTTCCTGCTTGCCGGTCTTCCCCAGACCGGCACTGACCCCACAACAGTGACGCACCCCACTCCCTAGTCACCCCCAGCGCTGACCTTTAACCCATCCCCTGGCCTCTCACCATGACCCTCTGCAGGAGCCCCCAGTCCTGAGAACCCCACCCTGCAGGCCCTCCCTGGCCCCATGAAGCTTCCAGCGCAAGCCTCTAAGACCCGCCCCTCCTGCACCCCGCTCCTCACAGCCTGAGTTCTGTACCCCTGCCCCAGTGCCACCCCCAGACCCGTCCTTGGGTCGGGGCAGAGGGCTGGCACATTTCTAGCCTCTACTGAGCTCGCAGTCCTCTGGGGAGGCAGGCCTGTCCCCAGACATCAACAGCCCCAGGTGGTCTGGGCTGGGATGGGGGGCCCAGAGGAGGCACCTGACCCAATCTGGGAGTCCAGGGGAGCTTCTTGGAGGAGGGGACACCTGAGCTGAATCTGGGGGCTGTTGAGGAGTAATGATAGTTTCAGGTAGCAAGGAGCAAGGGCTTCAGTGGAGGAAATGGCTCATCTAAAAGCCCTGGGTATGGGGTGTTTTTGTGGGGGTTTGCGTTTTTTCCTGCCATCCTTGAGCAAAGTGGCAGAGATGGGATTTGAACCGAGGTCTCTTTCCAAGGCCCATCCCTGCTCTTTGCCCCTGTCCTGCCTCCATGTGAAAATGTGAGGGTTGTGGCCCCGGTGACCAGGCGTGGCCTGAGGTGGGGCGGGCACGGGACCAGCAAGCCCACGCCGGGCCTCGTAGAGCCAGCCTGGGAGCACAGACTTTACCCCAAGGGCAGTCGGAACCAGGAACGACTGGGGGACCGTGGCCAAGTATGCCCTCAGTGGGTGGAGGTGGGTGTGACCATCAGCAGGCCCCGCGCCCAGGGCTGGGCCCCTGGCTGACTCATCTCTCCTGGTGCCCGGCCTGGCCTGGCGGGGAGAGGACACAGGCTTAGAAGCTCTCCCACCAGGGTCTCCCTCTGCAGGGTGTTTGGGAGTACTTGGAATTCTTGTCCACTGCTTAAAAGGCGAGAGACCTCACATCCGAGTCTGTTTCTGGCTTCTCTTGACAAATCAGAATCTCCCTGGTCCTCTCAGACACCCACGACCCCCAGGCCCTCTCAACCCCTTATTCTCACACCAAAGTCTGATCACGGGTCTGCCTTGCTTCAGGCCCTTGACCGGGGTCCCCTGCAAGGCCGGACTTCTGGGCCGGCCCCAAGGCCTAGGAGAGGCAGGAGGCAGGTGCAGGCCACATGGGGCTGGTGTGGCTCGAGGGGGCTTTGGTGGGATCCGTATTTTCTGCACATTCCAGGCAGCTTTCTCCCCAGTCCCTGTGCACCAACGGTGGACAGCAGGTCGCCTATTCCCTGCTCAGCACACCCTGCGCCCAGCTCCCCTCTCTCTCGCTCACTTATTTAGCAAGTATTTATTGAGCACCTTCTGTTTATCAGATGCTTTCTAAGTGCTGAGGTGTATAGCGGGACCAGAAACAGAGGAAAAACAGCCCTCATGAAGGCTGCCGTGGGGGAGGCAGGCAGATGCACAGATGCTGGCTGCCGCGGCTCTCAGTGCTCTGGAGAGAGAAGGGGGCAGCGGGCAGGGAGGTTGGGGCTGCTGTTAGACTGCAGGTGCTCAGCAAAGCAGGCTCTGAGCATGGGGAGAGAGGGAGCCGTGGGCATGCGGGAAGGAGTGGGCCGGGCAGAGGGGACAGCCAGTGCAAAGTGGCTGGAGCTCAGGGAGCTGGTAGGGGGTTAAGGGGTGTGGGGGCTAGCAGAGAGCCCTGGAGACCGTGACTCTACTCAGGGGAGGGGTGGCCACGGCCTGGACTGGGGAGGCAGCGTGGAGATGGGCTCTGGCTGCGCTTCACCCTCTGCCTGGTCCCCAGGGGCATTTGTGTTTGCCCCCACTCACTCCAGGGCCCTCTCTGCCCTCTCCTTTGGGCCTGGACCTTTCCCGCTCTCCTTGGACCCCCTCTCCCAGCCTCCAGGGGAGAAGAGAGCCTGGCTTTGGGGTTAAAAACCTGGCAGGCCTGCCGGGGAGGAAGTGCCAGGCCCTGCCGTGGCCCCAGCATCCTGTAATTTGCATCTCTCCCCAGCTGATTATGGGCTGGGCTATCCACTGCCCTCCCTGCTCCAGCCCGCAGGGTAGGACCTGCCCGCAGCCTGGGGAGCAGAGAAACACAGGGCGGGTGCTTCTCGGGGGGCCACCCAGCCCTGGGGGCCAAGCTTGGCCTTGGGGCTCACCATCAGCCCCCCCTGCTGCGACTGGTTTCTCGGTGGGGAGTGGGGTGCAGAGGCCTCCCGGGTCCTGCCCCGCCTGCCCACCCCCGTTATCACTCCATGGCATTTCTTCATTTCGTCTCTGTCTTGTCTCTGTGTGTGTGATGTTGTCTTGTCCCTGTGTGTCGGATGTATGTCCTGTGTACTCCACCTCCTCCCTCCCCCACCCGCTACTGCCCCTGGACCCCAGACCATCGTGCGGGGCAGCAAAGGCGCCAAGGATGGGGCCCTCACGCTGCTGCTCGACGAGTTCGAGAACATGTCGGTGACACGCTCCAACTCCCTGCGGAGAGACAGCCCGCCGCCCCCCGCCCGCGCCCGCCAGGAGAACGGGCTGCCCCGGGAGCAGGCCTCCGTGGCCAGAGGGGGTCCGGACAAGGCAGGCGGCCGGGGCCAGGCTGCTCACAGTGAGGCGGGTGGCGGCAGCGGTGACAGGCGGAGGGTAGGGCCGGAGAAGAGGCCCAAGTCTTCCAGGGAGGGCCCTGGGGGAGCCCAGGAGTCCTCCCGGGACAAACGCCCCCTCTCTGGGCCTGATGTCAGCGGGGCGAAACTAGCAGCTGGCCGGCCCTTTAACACGTACCCGCGGGACACAGACCACCCGTCCCGTGGTGCCCAGGTAACTGATTCCCCCACCACAGGGCCCCCCACTGTTTCCCAGCTCCAGCCCGTGCCCCACCCGCCATCCATCGCTCATCCTGACCAGCCATGTGTCTGTCCCACAGCCAGACCCCTCCTTGGGGAGCAGAGCTGGACCCGGCCCTCCACTGACAGCTGCCTCTCTCTCTTCTCTTCCAGGGAGAGCCTCACAGCAGGACCCCCAATGGGCCATCCGCAGGGGGCCTGGCTGCCCCCAAGTCCTCCTCCCGGCCCCCCACCCAAGCCCGTGGTGCCCCCAGCCCTGGAGTGCTGGGCCCCCATGCCTCCGAGCCCCAGCTGGCCCCTCTGTCCCGCACCCCTGCCGCCCCTGGGCCCCCTGGGCCCCGCTCGCCCCAGCGGGAGCCCCAGCGGGTGTCTCATGAGCAGTTCCGGGCCGCCCTGCAGCTGGTGGTGGACCCAGGCGACCCTCGCTCCTACCTGGACAACTTCATCAAGATCGGCGAGGGCTCCACGGGCATCGTGTGCATCGCCACCGTGCGCAGCTCTGGCAAGCTGGTGGCGGTCAAGAAGATGGACCTGCGCAAGCAGCAGAGGCGCGAGCTGCTCTTCAACGAGGTGGGCTGGCCTGGCCTGGGTGGGGGTGGGAGAAGGCCTTTCAAGGCTGGGGTCCCCAGAGTTCCCCACCTCCTCTCTTCCCTCCTCACACCCTCCCCAGGCTGACTCCTCTGTCCCCAGCTACAATTCTTCTGTCCTGACAGTATTGTCATCTCTGTCCCCATTCCTGGCCTCTCACCAAACCCCAGACCCAACATTCCTGAGTGACCTCCAGCGCCCCCACCCATCGAGTCCTAAATGGGCCTCCAAAGTGTCTCCCCCAAACCTCTCCTCTAGGTCCCCAACTCAGGGAAGCCCCCCTCACTCCCCTACTGCTGTCCCATCCAGACCCTGGGTGCTCCTCCCCACCTCAGCCTGTCGACCCCATACCACGGATCGCCTCCCTCCCCCTGCCCAGCCTGTCCACCCTGCGCCATGCATCCCCTCCCTCCCCCTGCCCAGCCTGTCCACCCGACCCCACGCATCCCCTCCATCCCACTGCCTCAGCCTGTCTGCCACACATCCCCTCCCTCCCCCTGCCCAGCCTCCCCTCATGGACAGCCCATTGACATTTCTCACACAGCAGCCAAAATGATCTTTCTAAAGAGCAAATCTGACCTTGTCCCTCCTCCACATCACATGCCCTTGCAGTGCCCCCCAGGGCCCTCAGGATGCAGTCCTGGCCCCTCTGCCTAGCATTTGAGGCCCTTCATCATCTGACCCTCAGCCCAGTGCCTGGTGGCTTCTGCAGGGAGTTGGTGACAAAGGCCAATCCTGAGCCCCTTCCCTGGAGGGGAATCTGTTGTAGGAAGCCCCAGGGACTCTGCGCCTAGAGTCCCAGGAGGACAGCAGGCCTGGGGTGCCCTTGCTTCCCTGGCCCTCGGCACTTCTCACCCCCTCAACCTGTCCCCTCACCCCAGTGCTGATAATGCTCCCGCTGCACCCTGAGCTGCTTCTCTGTAATGAGGTTCGCTGTGAGCACCCCCTCACCCCAGGCCTTTACCCTGCTAGTCCTTTCACCCGGAGTTCTTCATCGTGCCTCTTGTCCTGCCCCCGCCCCCCGACCTTTAATTTTAACCTTGGCTGTTACCTGCTTGTCCTTATCTCAGCCTCCTGCTTCCCACCGCCCTCTCCCAACCCAGCCCAATCACAGGGCCGCTCAGAGGGGAGCATCAGAAAATGTGTATGGGGGGGCGCCATCCCAGAATGCCACCTGAGCATCAGGCCTCGCGCTGGCTTTGGGGTCTGGGTGGCTTTGTCAGAGGAAGAGGGCAGTCCCACCCCCGGAAAGGCAGGCGGGGTGGCTGGCGGCCGGCTGAGGGCGGGGCCTGGCTGTGAGGGCGGGGCCTGGCTGTGAGGGCGGGGCCTGGCGGTTGGCTGTGAGGGCGGGGCCTGGCGGCCGGCTGTGGGGGCGGGGCCTGGCGGCGGCTGTGAGGGTGGGGCCTGGCTGGGCCTGGCGGTTGGCTGTGAGGGCGGGGCCTGGCGGCCGGCTGTGAGGGCGGGGCCTGGCGGCGCTGACCCAGCCCCCCGCCCAGGTGGTGATCATGCGGGACTACCAGCATGAGAACGTGGTGGAGATGTACAACAGCTACCTGGTGGGAGATGAGCTCTGGGTAGTCATGGAGTTCCTGGAGGGAGGCGCCCTCACCGACATCGTCACCCACACCAGGTACTGCCGGGTGCTGCACCCTGCTGGTGTGCAGGAAAAATGTCCCTAGGCTCCCCAGGGGGCTGAGTCCCCTCAGACCCCCTGGGCAGGGCAGTGTCCCCTCAGACCCCTTGGGGCAGGGCAGTGTCCC